TGCTAAGTAGATATATGTCACATTTGATTGCCCAACAGATGATACAGACCAATATATAATGGTAACAGCTGCCAAACAGATTTCTTTATCTACTCTTCAAGTTTGAGATGTTACATAAAAAAGCCTTTTGTTAAAAAAAGTATCATATAATAGTTCCCTGAAAGCTTCAACAAGAATGCATTTCCATTTTCTAGAGAGAGAATGACAACAGAAAGATGGAAAGCATAAATCAATGCAACCACAAACCATGATACAGAATGCTACATGATAAAAGAATAACAAAAAATAAAAATGATAAACTGGGTGTTGAAGCAAGCAGCTATTATCAAATGAAGAATAAGTTCCATACTCACACTGGTTCTGCATGAGAAGTGTCATGGCCTGAAACCCAAATATCATCAGATGTTTTGGGACTCTCCTTTACAGAGGTAAATTGGCCATTTTTACGGTGCATCCTGACAGATAATTCATTGAAACATATAACTAATTATACAGTGAAACAAAGGTATTAACTTTAGTAGAATATAACTGAAAATCAGTTTTCTATAATACTCCACTCAGTTTTTCTGTCCATGTTTGTTAAGTAATGTATAAACACTAATGAGCAATAATGCCTTTCCACAGTTCCTTTCACGTTATAGTTGACCACCTAGAAGTGCAACTTTCTAATGTTCCCTTCTCTGCTCTCGTCAATGTCAGATTTTGTCAAGAAAATCTAGTCAACAGTAGTCTCTAACTAAACAAACCAACCGTAGAAGTATTCTCATAGAAAGCAACAAAATGAAAAGAACAGCTCATAATACTTTCTAGGCTGTAAATAAAACTCACCTCTGAGCAACTTCTTTTCGGCAAGTGTACCTAATCTTCTTCTCAAAGCATCTCTCTTTCCGCTTCTCGCGGAACCTAACCAGAGATGCAATTCTACTAGAAACAGTAGGACTCAAACCATCATCTACCGCCTGCTGTCCATTTCACAGGAAACATCAACAATTACCTTAAAACATTTTGTAACATTAAATTTATATTAAAAACCATACACCAATATATAGCCAATACCTTGTTATTCTGTTGTAATGGAAATTCTGAGCTGAGTATACTACTAGGCATTTCTTGGCCTCCCAGTAGTAATAACACTGCTTGCACCTATAAAATGTTCATATATACAAACGACCTATATCACCATCAACATAGAAACAGCATGAAACGGTCAATCAATTAATCAATATATTTATCCATTTATTAACTCATTCAGCCACTATTAAATCCATCATCACCAGCAAAATAAACAACAACAAACAAAAATAGTACAAAAGCACGAATTCCATAAAACATTACAAATGCATCAATCAGTAACTTTATCCATTTATTCACTCGTTCAGCTACTATTAAATCAATCTTCTTGAGTAAAATAAAATAAAATAGCACAAAAGCGTTAAAATCAATAAAATAATTTATTAATTCCATTACTCAAACGCTGAAAGTAATAACTATATCACAGAAAAAATTTAAACCTTTTCAGGAGTGACGGCAGGAAAAACATAAACTTCCCCCTCGAAGGAGATGCTGAGCTCACTAGTCCTTGATGCGGGGGTTCTCGACTGATAATTTACAGGAATTGCCATTGGTGGCGACATTTCCTCACTACTAATCTTCTCCTCGCCGCCACCGCCACCGCCACCGGCTTGAAATCCACCGCCGTTATCATGCATTCGTATTGGCGTGATCATACAGTCCTCCCCATACGGCCTCGGTTTCATCGCATCCATTTATTTATACACACACATATGCATGCATGTATGTAACTATATACACATATATATCTGCTTGTTTGCTGAGTACATATATGTATTGTGTGTGTGAGAAAAACGGAAGAGAAATTGGAACCCTAACCCTAAGGGAACGATGTATGAAATTGTGAAGACATTGATTATAGTGAATTTAAGACTGCTTTTGAAGTAATTAAAATCTGATTATGAATAAGTGATTATTGAGGGAATGGATATACTAAAAAAATTGGGGAGAGCATATGAAATCAGCAAAAATGGCTCACGTGATGGGGACAGAGGTGGGGTCCAGTAAACGCATAGAATGGGCAGGGGTACACCAGCGTCAGACCAAACGGTGAATTTTGTTTCATGATTTGAAAAGAACAATCGAGCTGGGTGTACGGAATCCAGTTCACAGACCTTACAGAAGTCTCAAAATGGATGGGGTCAGAATTTTTTTTGTCGTTTTTTATCACGTTGGGTCTCGCAGTGGGGCCGACCCATTGTGAGCAGGGGTGGACGCAGACATTTTAAATTAGAGAATCAGTAACGAACTTTTAAAAAAGTGATGAAAAATTAGAATAAGATATATCTTATTACAATTGCTCTCTACGTGTTCTCATACTTTGATAGCGTTTCATAATTACATTATTTTCAATATTATCAAAAACATCTTTTTCAATATATGCAATCAAACTATCATTCAACCATTGATCTCCGATTCGATTGCGCAGACGATTTTTGACGTAAGTCATCGCAGAAAATGCTCTCTCGACTGTAGCAGTAGCCACGGGAAGAACTAAGGTTAGTGTCACAAGTTTGTAGACTAACGGATACACTTCATGTTTTTTCTTCACAACCAATTTCTGTCCAAGCTCGCTCCTTGTAATTCTTCAAAGTTTTCAGAAGTGCGCATATCAAGAATATATATATCTAGTTGATCATCAAGTTCTAGGATATCTGCTGCATCAAAATCTACCGGATAATACTGACATAGTCGAATCAATTTGATCTTGTCAAAAGCAGCAAATGAATTACTTGGAGATAAACATGCAAACACAAATAAGCAAGTCACTATTTACTTCAGAAAAACGATCATTCAACTCTTGAAGTTACATATCAATGACGGCATAAAACATTTCCACACGAAAATGATGCAAATTTGTCACTGTCTCACGCCGTGGACGACCTACAGTTACGAACATATCATCCATATCGGGAACATTGATCTTGTGAGTTTCACAAAATGAACAAATCACTCCCAAAAAAGAATCTCATCCATCATCTCTCATGGTTTGGAGTTGTGTTTTACATATTTGCACCAATTTCATAGCATTGACAATATCTTGATCTTTTCTTTGTAATGCTCCTGACAATTCGTTTGAAATCCCTAAATTTTTTTTCATGAGATGTAGATTAAATGCAAATTCAAATCTTAACATCAACTCCAATGAAATGCATATATCACCTCTTGTTCCGGTACTTGTAGTATCAGTAGCAATCATCTCAATGACGTCGACTATAGTTGAAAACATGGCAATCAAGTTAATTAAACAACTATAGTGAGAGCCCC